TTCTAGATGTCCATGTAATAGAATTCTATACATTTAATGAAAAAAGAAAAAAAGCTCTATGGAATGATTTGGAGACAGCTACAGCATGTACAATTTTAATGAAAAAGACTAGTAAGTATAGGAAAGCGTGTGGCCAGGAGGGAGACTATAAGGATATGTAAATATTTGCAAAAAACCAACCCCAACAACAGTGAAAGCATAAGACACAAATCACCCCAGTTTCCCCTAGTGGGAGGGGTCATGGTAGACAAGGGTAGAGACAGGAGGAAGAGCTCTGTGTGTAACTTTTCATAGCTTCAGGGTTTTCAATACAGTAAACTTCAAAAAATTTTTCAAAAACTCATTCCTCATTCTACAACAATAAGGAAAATTAACAAAAATAGTTGCTTTCCATAATTTGTTCCAAAAAATGTGAGCAAATTTTTTAGCAAAAAAAAAATCTTCAAAAGTATACCACATTTTTTTCTTAGTCTTCACAATTCTTTTAAAAATAGTATTTTTATCATTTTTAGTGAAGGTTCACACACTGTTTAAGTTTCCATTCAACAATTTCCACACAAATTACTCAGTGACATTGGTTGTTACAATCTTCAGTTTGTGTGAACATCCTCGCTATTTCTGTTCTGTTTGCCCCATTTCCATTAATCTAGTTTGCCTGCCCTTTTGCAGGGTCATCTTTGTTTTAAAGCATTGTTCACCATTTGGTCTCAAAGAAGTGATTTTTGTTTGTTTGTTTGTTAAGGAGCACAGTACTTTGAAGGGATATTCTTTATTTTCAAGTTAATATGTGATTTAGCTGCAAGGTGAGCTCTGGAATTAGTTACAGTTTCAGGGTTATATGGTATGCCAGGCTGTAGTCTCAAAGAGTCTTAGTCGCTGGCAGTCCAAATCTAGTTCATTTTTTTAAGGAATGTGAGGTTGTTCTACATTTTTCTCCCATTCTCAGAACAATTAGTAGTGGTAGCTAGATAACATCTAATTCTTCTGGGTTCAAGGTAGATGAGGCAGGCCATGGTTCATTCAGAGAATTTGTCCTGCAGATGAATTTCTTCTCTGAGTCTTTGGTTTCCTTCTTTAGCTTTTGCTCTGGAAAGTAGAGACTAACAGATATATATATATATATATGGTCACTCTCAAACTTGTAAGTACCCAGACACTCTCGCTAAACTAGAATGGCGCACCTAACTATAAAAGCACTTGACCGTGGTATACCAAGTGACTATGGTCCTAACCCCTCCAACCCAGAAATCCAATTCCACAAGGTATTTGGTTATGTCTAAGAAGTATTCGTAACTGTGCCCCTTATGTGCTTTATTATATACAAGAGGGCTTCAAAGTCTGTGGGAAAATAGCATTATAAAATCATTGAATTTTTCCATAAACTTTATGAAGCCTCCTCGTAAATGAACATATGTTCATACACTACATACATGCATATAAATGTTATGCACCCGGTGTGGCGCTGCAGGTTAATGCGCAGGATTGCAGTTGATTTGGTGGTTCAAGCTTACCAGTTGCTCCTTGGAAACCCTATACAGGGTCGCTATGAGTTGGAATTGACACGATGGTACTTAATAACAACAACATATATACAGCACAGATACCTGCCTATACACATATTTTTTATATATATGACAAGAAAAAGAACTGAAAGAAGACTTCAAAGTATGGCTGAAGAAGATAAAGTACAATAAAATTTGCGAAGACAAGTCAGAAAACCAAAAAGGAAGCACGTGCCCAGCATTTCTCAAACTGAAAGAACTAAGGAAAAATTCAAGCTTCAACTTGCAATACTGAAGGTTTCCGTGGGAAAAACATGACACTACGCAGGAAACATCAAAGAAAGATGCAAGAAATACACACTGTACCAACACTGGTTGACAATCCACCATTTCAAGAGGTAGCATATAATCAAGAATTTACGGTGTTGAAGGAAAAAATCCAAATTGTACTGAAGGAATTGACAAAACACAAGGTTCCTTGTACTGAGGGAAGGCTAAATGAAATGTTTCAACAAACCGATGCAATGCTGGATGTGCTCAATTGTTTATACCAAGAAACTTGGAAGCTAGCTACCCAGCCAACCGACTGGAAGAGAGCCATATCTTTATCCATTTCAAAGGACAGTGATCCAAAAGAATGTGGAAATTATCTAACAATAACTTTATAGCAAATGCAAATATAACCAGGACTAGAGAAAGACTCATTAACAACCTGTGATGTGCAGACGAGACAACTTTGCTTGCTGAAAGTGAAGAGGACTTGAAGCACTTACTGATGATGAAGATCAAACTCTACAGCCTTCAACATGGGTTACACTCAACAGAGAGAAAACAAAAAGCCTTACAACTGGGCCAATAAGCAGCATCATGATAAACAGAGAAATGACTGAAGTTGCCAAGGAATTAGTTTTACTTGGATCCACAATCAACACAAACAAACGCCACAGTCAGGAAATCAAAGGATGAACTGCACTGGGCAAATCGTCTACTAAAGACCTGTTTAAAGTGATAAAAAGCAAAGACATCACTCTGAGAAAGGTGTGTCGCACTCAAGTAAGTCTTGGCATTTGTGACACTGTAGGATAAAGCACTGGTCCCCAAGGTCAGTCTGTACCTCAAGGTCAGCAGTTCAAACTCACCAGTCGCTCCTCAGAAACCCCATACAGGGTCACTATGAATCAGAACCGACAAGATAGCACTAAACAACAATATGCATGTGAAAGCTCACCAACGAGTAAGGAAGACAATAAATGAAAGAACTGATGCTCCTGAATTATGGTGTTGGCAAAAGATGTTAAACAGACTCCTGAACAATGATTAAATCTGTGCTGGATGAAGTGCAGCTAGACTGCTCCTTGTAAGTGAGGATTGTAAGCCTTGGTCTAATGTACTTTGGACATGTCATCAGAAGGAACCAGTCCCCGGAGACAGGCATCATGCTTGGTAAGGTGGAGAGTTAGTGAAAAAGAGGAAGACCCCCCAGATGAACTGACACAATGAACAGACTCAAACACGGAACCACTGCGAGGGTGGCACAGGACCAGGCAGTTTTGTTTTGCTGTGCACAGGGCTGCTGAGTCGGAGTTGACTCGATGACACCTAGCATCATACACATATATGCCTCCATAAATACCAGCGTATACATGTTTCGGTTGTTTTTGCTATTGTTTCAAAATGATATATCTTACAGTGTTTACTTACAGGGTCCTTTTTCTTGTGTGTATTTAAGTGACACAGTGCACCTTCGTCAAACTGCGTACACTTCACCCTCATTTGGTATTTCCATAAATTTTTAAAGTAATTTTCATAAGCACTAGTTGACATAGCTCAATGTTAGTTTTATCCCATGATGCTGAACAGAAAAATGAGGACTCAAACATTTAATTTAGTCATAAAATATCCCTTTTAAAATGATCAACTATGTCTCACAAAATGAACTTTGTTTCAAATACATTCCGTGCTGTTAAGACTAACAAATGCCATTCTATGTTGGCAAAGTCTGTCAACATGCCAAAATAGTGATAGATAACTACTCTGACAAAGGAGAAAGAAATTGAGACCACTTATTTTAGGGTCAAGGAGTTCTGGTAGTGTAGTGGATACGAATTGGGCTGCAAACCGCAAGGTCAGCAGTTCAAAACTACCAGCTACTCTGCGGGAGAAAGATAAGGCTTTCTGCTCCCATAAAGATTTACAGTCTCGGAAACCCTGTTCAGGGTCGCTATGGGTCGCAACCAACTCAACGGCACTTAACAACAACAACGCTTAAATTCAATTTAATACATATTAAAAATGGCAGCATCTTTAATATGTTTTTATACATACGTACCATCTTCCACATTTAAGCTAACTGCAACACAGTGCCAACACATTATCATTTCCATTACTATTCTACATCCGGAGGCCTAGTGTGGCTCTGTAAGGTGAGGCACTGAACCACAAGATCAGTACTTCAAACTCACCAGCTGCTCCTCGGAAACTCTATATAGGGTCACTATGAGTTGGAACCAACTTGATGGGACTTAACAACAGCATTCTATCTTTGGCCAAAAGCAACTATTTCTGGTCCTAAATATGTCACAAGTTCTAGACATGACGTGTGCCCTCAAGCTAGTTCTTGCTCCCAGCTTAGCTAGCAATATGTGTGAGAACACTTGGATCCTAAGTTTCTTCTCTGCTTCTAATTCTGCATCTTAAACCAGTTACTTACCCTGTAGGAGCCAAAACTTATAAAAATAAGGATAACACCACACATTGAACAGCAACAGGGTTGAAGTAAAAATCCAAGGTGATTTTATACCTGCAAGCCTTTCCTAACTAAGAAGTACTAGAAGAAGAACTGGTAATCATTATTATTAATTGCCCCATACTTAACATTTGGAAACGAAAGAATGTTTTAACGTACAGGTTTTTACAGAAGTCTAAATCAATGGCAAGCATTTCTAAATGGCTAAGAATCAGATTTGCACAAAGAATACCTCTACAAGATCCTTTCTTGGTCTCAACTTTAAAAGGGGTTCACTGAGTCGGATGGAACACATTCCACCCCTCCCTTCATAGCTGCAAATCCCAGCACACCTGCAAAACAACCAGGACAGAAATGTGTTACATTTACAAACCAGCTATACACCAAGAAGACATACAGATGAATCAGCAAATCTTCATAAGCTCTATGGACAAGTGGCTTTTCTTGAAAGTATACCTTCTTAGTTAAATTTGTCTTTCACTCCAGTTAGGGAGACAGGTGAGCAAGAGTTGCTTCTCTGACCCCAGTAACTGCAGCAGCTCAAAGACAATCCTGTTCTGTCTCTCCCAGGTTCCTGCCTACAAGCTATCATCAGTTTGCATGGGTAAATAATGGCAGACAGATGGTCCAATAGCACATCTCCAAAATTGTAATAGCTTATATGAAGGAAACTTGCATTGTAGTATATATTTTAACCTGTCTTAAGATAAGTTGTTTCATAGTAATTCAAAAACAAGCTTGATGGTATACAACTCCATCACCAACTTAACTCTTTATGTTTGAGAATAAATTGTTTCAAATTGGAATTTGTCAAACTCAGCATGAAGAAAATGGGATCTTTTTGTATGTATCATTAAAGATCCCTTGTTGTTGTTTAAAGTGCCATGGAGTTGGTTCCCACCCATTGCAACCCTGTACAGGGTTTCCGAGGATCAGTTAGTGAACTTGAACAACCTCCTTGCAGTTCAAACAGCTTTGCAGTCAGGCGCATTAGCCCACAGAGTCACAGCATGGCTCCAGATCCCTTAGGTCCTGAAATATGGAAATGTCTTCCTCCCACATTCCAATCAGGACTTCTCTTGGTTAATTCAGGTTCAAAGTCCAGCTAAGTGTCCATTTCCACTCGATATACTGAGTTAGAATCTACATTTTAACAGGATAAATGTTAACATTTTAAAAATTATCCATAAGAAATATCCGGTACTTTTGTTAAAATGTAGACTCTGGCTCAGGAAATATTGGGTGGAAATTTAAATTCTCAGCAGGAGGTCAAAAAGGGACTGAAAAGTTTTGAAGCCTTGATTTCAACATATCTTAATCAATACAGAGGAGACAACTCATCCTCGGATGGGTTTCTCGGTATTTTTCTTGGGGGCAGATAAATCTGATGCTCCTCCTTCTTAGGTGGTGGAGTGGCTTCTGATTCATCAGAATTTATCCAACAAAACTGCCCCCATAGGGTTTCCTAAGCTTTCATCTTTACAGGGGCAGACTGCTACATCTTTCTCCCACCGAGCTGGTGGGGTCGGATTGAGTCCTGTAAATACTGCGCTACCAAGGATCCTTTTACAGTCCTTTTCTCAATTCCCTAAAGACCTAACCTATGCAAAAAAAAAAAAAAAAAAAAAAAAAGGCACTACCATAGGACCGGTGTGGTTCTATGGATTAATGTGCTGGACCGAAGGTCGGCATTTCAAGCTCATCAGACGCTGCTCGGAAACCCTATACAGGGTCGCAAAGACTTGAAGGCACTTAACAACTATAACAACAACGCATAAATCAGAAATGTGTTCCATTTCTTTTCAATTAAGGTGAGTTCGTCTCTAGCCTCCAAGCCAGAGTGGGCGGGGCACGTAGCTTTCTAACGCCGTCCGAACCGGGCGGGACTCACAGGGTCATGCGCATGCTCCATTTAACCTCCACAGCCTCCAGTTGGCCCCAGAAGAACCGGTCGTTGAACTGCACGAACAGGCCCTGCAGGTCAGGGGTGGGATCCACCAGCTCCCAGGAAGCGTCCACCAGCGACAGGGGTTCCTGGGCGCGGTCGTGCCGCGCGGCCTGCAAGTCCCACTCTTCCTGCAGTTGCATGGCCAAAACCAAGTCTTCGTCCATGGTGTCAGGCTCGGCGGCCCCCTCGGCTGCCCTCAAACTCGCCCCTGGCGGCTCTCAGGCGATACTGGCTTCCCTGCAGCCACCTCGCGGCTCCTAGGAGATACCGGCTGCCGGACGCTCTCGCGAGAACGCGGAAAACGGGCTTCAGAAAGAACCCGAAAGAGCTAGCCCCGAACGCCAAAGCCAAGATTCGGGACTAACGATAAATCGGCACCTCCTAGTTAGCGGAAAACTGAGTCCCCGTGGTTTGACCTAGAAGTCTCCAGGACTTAATTCCGCCCTTAACTCAGTCCGCCCTTAACTTCAAACACCCAATATCACAACATATTCATGCGCAGCGTCCGCAGTTTGCTTCCGTCCTCATTCACTTCCGCAAGAGCGATTGCGACGCATGCGTCTTAATTAACTGGCGCCTCCGCGCAGGCGTACTGTTTTGCACGACGCCTTGAGCAGGCGCAGTGTCCGATTCTCAGGCCTGGGCGCAGGCGCAGTCACCTCGCTTCGTCTTGCTTCCTACCCCTGGAGCTCTGTTGGGGTGGGGTGGGACTCGACTACTCCAGCGATCGTGGCAGTGACTGCCCAAGGGCTGGACGGAAATGTCAATGTCGGACAGCGGGGCTACACGTCTGAGGCGGCAGCTGGAGTCAGGCAGCTTCGAGGCGCGGCTATACGTAAAGCAGCTATCTCAGCAGTCGGATGGGGACCGGGACCTCCAGGAGCATCGGCAGCGCATCCAGGCGCTGGCCGAGGAGACGGCGCAGAACCTGAAACGCAATGTGTACCAGAACTACCGGCAGTTCATAGAGACGGCCCGCGAGATCTCCTACTTGGAGAGTGAGATGTATCAGCTAAGCCACCTGCTCACAGAGCAGAAAAGCAGCCTGGAAAGCATCCCGCTCACCCTGCTTCCCTCCGCTGCCGCTGCCGGAGCCACCGCGGCCTCTGGAGGAGAGGAGGGAGGAGGCAGTGTCGGGGGCCGAGACCACCTCCGAGGCCAGGCCGGCTTCTTCCCCACCCCCGGGGGTGCCTCCCGCGACAGTTCAGGGCCGGGCGAGGAAGGAAAACAACGCACCCTCACCACCCTGCTTGAAAAAGTGGAGGGCTGCAGGCACCTGTTGGAGACACCGGGACAATACCTGGTGTACAACGGGGACCTAGTGGAGTATGAGGCGGACCACATGGCCCAGTTGCAGCGGGTGCATGGCTTTCTGATGAACGACTGTTTGCTGGTGGCCACCTGGCTGCCCCAGCGGCGTGGGATGTATCGCTACAATGCGCTCTACCCCCTGGATGGCTTGGCTGTGGTCAATGTCAAGGACAACCCGCCCATGAAGGACATGTTCAAGCTACTCATGTTCCCCGAGAGCCGTATTTTTCAGGCAGAGAATGCTAAAATCAAACGGGAATGGCTGGAAGTGCTGGAAGAAACCAAGAGGGCCCTCAGTGAGAAGCGGCGAAGGGAGCAGGAGGAAGCGGCAGCTCCCCGAGGGCCACCCCAAGTGACTTCCAAAACTGGCAACCCGTTTGAGGAGGATGAAGAAGAAGCAGCAGCTGTGCCTGAGGTGGAGGAAGAGAAAGTGGACCTCTCAATGGAATGGATCCAGGAGTTGCCAGAGGACCTGGATGTTTGTATTGCCCAGAGGGACTTTGAAGGGGCCGTAGACCTGCTGGATAAATTGAACCATTACCTGGAAAATAAGCCCAGCCCTCCTCCTGTAAAAGAACTAAGGGCCAAAGTGGATGAGCGAATCCGCCAGCTCACGGAGGTCTTAGTTTTCGAACTCTCCCCAGATCGATCCCTGCGAGGCGGGCCTAGGGCCACTCGCAGAGCCGTTTCTCAGCTAATCCGCCTTGGCCAGTGCACTAAGGCATGTGAGCTGTTTTTGAGGAATAGGGCAGCAGCTGTGCATACCGCCATCCGACAGCTGCGCATTGAGGGTGCCACTTTGCTTTACATACATAAATTATGCCATGTCTTCTTTACCAGCCTTCTGGAGACAGCAAGGGAATTTGAGACCGATTTTGCAGGCACGGACAGTGGCTGCTACTCCGCCTTTGTGGTCTGGGCACGGTCAGCCATGGGCATGTTTGTGGATGCTTTCAGCAAGCAGGTGTTTGATAGTAAAGAGAGCCTCTCCACAGCAGCGGAGTGTGTAAAGGTGGCCAAAGAGCATGGTCAGCAGCTGGGAGATATTGGCCTCGACCTCACCTTCATCATTCACGCCCTCCTGGTGAAAGACATCCAGGGCGCCTTGCACAGCTACAAAGAAATCATCATTGAAGCCACTAAGCATCGCAATTCTGAGGAGATGTGGAGGAGAATGAACTTGATGACGCCAGAGGCCCTGGGAAAACTCAAAGAAGAGATGAAGAGTTGTGGAGTGAGTAACTTTGAGCAGTACACAGGGGATGACTGCTGGGTGAACCTCAGCTACACAGTGGTTGCTTTCACCAAACAGACCATGAGCTTCTTGGAAGAGGCCCTGAAGCTCTATTTCCCAGAGCTGCACATGGTACTTTTGGAGAGCCTGGTGGAGATCATATTGGTTGCTGTTCAGCATGTGGATTATAGTCTGAGGTGTGAGCAGGAGCCAGAGAAGAAGGCCTTCATTCGACAGAATGCCTCGTTTCTATATGAAACCGTTCTCCCTGTGGTGGAGAAGAGGTTTGAAGAAGGTGTGGGAAAGCCTGCCAAGCAGCTCCAAGACTTGAGGAACGCATCCAGACTTATCCGAGTGAATCCTGAAAGTACAACATCAGTGGTCTGATAACGTGGATCTGTTTATAGAAGAGAGATACATGTCTGTTGCTTATGTGTTATTTATATTAAGTTCCACTAGCGTATTCTTTATAGTCTCAACACAGCATAAAATTCTCAGTTAGGCAAAATCAAATGGAGAAAGAAAATCTGTTAAATTAAGCCACAATAACAAAAACAATGGAATGATTAAAACATAACTTTCCTTTGAAATTATGCTAATTCTCTACTGGATCTATGGTTACATGATAGTAATTCAGCTTATCCTTTGAGTCAAAAACATATTATGTAGGACAGAGAAATAATGTGTATAAAAACACTGAGTTTAAGTATGTTGTGAAAAATGTCTCACTTCGCTAAAATGTTAGACTTCTTGAAGTATGTAAAGGGCACAACGTTCTATAGAAAATGCCCTGCCTCATATACTTCCCAACCTTAAAATGTGATAGAACAATTTGGTGGGGAAAGGCTTTGGAAAATTGGTTTTAGAGTGTATTTATAGTCAAAGAAGTGTTTCTCTAAACTAGTGGGTGGACTCAGATACTCCAATCTTTCTAAAAACTGTTCAGCGAACTTTTTTTTTTTTAAACGTAATTCAAGTGGTTAATTATTTTCAAAGTTTTAAATTAGCAGTTTTATAATCTCAAGGACTGTGTCAAAGTAAAATTTTGCATGTCTTCCTGAATTGTGTAACTTTACAGCAAGAGTTTTTCATCTTTGTCGGCTTAAGAAAATAAAAAAATAACAAGACACGTTGAGGACCGTGGCAGCAGTCAGTGATTGTAGCTGCTTCCGTGTCAGTGTGGGTTGTGTAGTGGCACAGATTTCATGCAAATAAGAGGAACATTCTCACTGACATTTACTCAGATTTCAGGATTTGGACACATGGGAAATTAGAAAAACCATATGCAGATGACATCATCTTCTCAAGTGTGACTACTCTGAGCAGAGATTGATTTCAGTGTCTGTTCTTGGTAACAGTGGAGAATCTAGAAGTGAGTTAATGTCCCCCAGAGCTAACAGAGAACTCCTTTCATGACTCCCACTAAAATGGTCCAGGCTGCATTTTTATTATTTTCTTAATATTCTTATTTTCTTTTAAAAAATGAACATAATGCTTCAGATTGTTTATAGAGAAAATAAAAACATAAGTAACTGAAGACATTTGAGCTTCCCAAGGTTTCTAAACTATTGCTTCTCCTGTCAGTATTGGGTATATCACTTTCCTCATACTGTGAGAGAAACTGTGCTTGCTAAATTCCATTTCACCATTGTTTTTTTGTCCATACGTGCCATTTTTGAGGCCAAGGATTTCAAAAGGTCATTTCTTTTATCTTATAAAAATAGCAATATGAAGAGTGTGGAAATTATGTTAAAACTTAACGCAGATTCCAAATAGTGGGCTACGGTTATGAAACTTGAAATTACTGATATTTTAGACTAGCCCTTTTATTTTTAACTATGCATATTTTAAAAGTTGGAAATTATCAAAGTTAAAATTTGTCTTTGCTTTTCTTATATAACTTTAGGATTTTTCTAAATGATAAGACTAACTGAATATCTCAGTTGAACACAGTTTTAATTTGTCTGTTTTAAGATCACTGAAAGCTTGAATTTGATAAAATTTTGTGATTCTTAGAATTACTTTGTACCATTTAAGATTCCTAAAATTATATTGTATGAAGCATGTATTATATAAATATCAGATCTGAATTCATGAACTGTTACTTCTAAATCCAAACGTCTCCTAAGGCATGAAGTTGTATATATACTCAGATATTTAAATGGTGATTACTTCTCAGAACTGTCTGCTTTTTAAAACTGGAAGTGTGGGATTTTCTTCTGTTAACTGTATGTTCCTTAAAGTTGTTTCTGAAGGAAGTATATTTTTGGTGAATTAATTCCTGTGGGAAGTTGATTAAAGACCACCAATTCCTCCAAGTGGAATCAGAGCTCTTTGCTCTTCTCATTCTTCTGTTTCATTTGACTGCAAAGTAAGTTCTGAAAGTTGAATGCAAATTTATATACATGCTGAAATTTATCAATTTAATAATTGGTTGCCTTTTCTTATCTGCTGCAAGCATAACAATGTCGCCTAAACTTGGAATCACAGACTTGATTGAATTAATTACTGTTGAACGAAAACATACTGTGGATTTAAGTCTCTTTTTGATGAAAGCCTCTTTCACTTGCGCTGAAAACACATTTCTTTTTTTGTTTAAAATACTACCTGTAGTTTAATTATCAGCACTTGTATTTTGCAATTTGATTTTATACCTAGGATTGGGAATTCGGGACTTAATATGTAGTATGAAATCAGTATGTGTAAATTCTGCTCATTGGTATGATGCTGTGATATGAGAGAATTTGAAATGTTTTATAAAATAAAGCTTCAAAATTTTCTTAAGCTGGATAAAGTTGATTGGTATTGCAATGTTATATCTGTTTCTCTTCTGTAATCAGGATTTAATAATGCGTATGTCCTTATGAAAATATTCTTTGAAGTTTTGTGGAGGATAATTAAGAAGCTGTTAGCTAATTTAAGAAAGTGTTCTGTTTATTGTCAAAATCATGCGTAAATCAGATCTCAATATTTTAGGATTTCCTTGAATGGGAAATTTCAAATGTGAATTTACACTAACCTGGATTTTACCTAAATGAAGACAATATCTAAGCAAGCTACAAAACGCACAAACTTAAATAACAAGTCCTGGTGTTTGGGTTTTGAGGGTTTCTTTATTTTTAATAATTATGGGTGAGTGTTGAGGTGAACTATCATTTTAATTGATTTAAATGTGTTTATTGAATGCTTTCACCTAACTAATATGGGGGTGGGGGTGCAAAATAAATTTAGGCATGCTCTCTCCGAAGATGTTTAAAATTTGGAAAAACTCAACAAATATAAATTGTTAGGTGCGGTGGAGTTCGTTCTGCCACTCTGTCATTCCATCCCGCTGGGGTCTTCCTCTTTTTCGCTGGCCCTCCACTTGACCGAAAGGAGCTCTGGTAGCATAGTGGTTACGAATCGGGCTGCGAACCTTAAGGTCAGCGGTTCAAAACTACCAGCCGCTCCGCGGGAGAAAAATGAGGCATTCTACTCCCGTAAGGATTTACACCCTCGGAAACCCTGTACAGGGTCGCTATGGGTCGGAACCGACTCGAAGGCAGTTAACAACAACCACTTGACCGAACATGGTGTTCTTTTCCAGGGTCTGGTCTCTCCTGATAACATGCACTTCTGAAGAACACTCTGACTACACTTCTTCCAAGACAGATTTGTTTATTGTTTTGGCAGTCAATGGTACTTCCAATATTCTTTACCAACACCGTAATTCAAATGCATCGATTCTTCTCTGGTATGAATATAATGGTATAATACATATAACACATGTTGTTGGTAAGTGCTATCAAATTGGTTCTTACTCATAGAGACCCTGGTTTTCAAAGGGTGGCTGGTGGGTTTGAACTGCCAACTAGCAGTTAGGTGTGTTTATCCTACAGCACCATACCGGGGCTCCAATACTAAAAATATAAGGAGTCCCGGTGTGGTGCTGTAGGGTAAGCACTGGACTGCAAGGTCGGTTTGAACCAAAAGGTCGGCAGTTCAAACACCAGCCACTCCTCAGAAATCCTGAACAGGGTTCGCTATGAGTTGGAACTGACTCGATGGCGCTTAACAGCAACAGTAACAATATAAACTGTTATATACTGTTGTATTCTTTGTTGTTGTTTTTGTTAAGTGCCGCCGAGTCGGTTCCGACTCATAGCAACCCTGTACAGTGTTTCTGGGGCTGTGAATCTTTACGGGAGCAGAAAGTCTCGTCTTTCTCCCGCGGAGAGGCTAGTAGTTTCGAACTGCTGACCTTGCGGTTCACAGCCCGATTTGTAACCACTACGCTACTAGAGCTCCTTTACCAAGACCATAATTCAAATGCATCGATTTTTAACAACAATAGAATATAATATATACAAGAAGAGTATGTTGCTGTGAAGTGTTATAGTCGGTTCTGACTCAGAGATAAATCTTTATGTGAACACAAAGCTTCATCTTTCTCCCTCAGGTGGACTCGAACTGTTAATCACTGTGGAATCCACTATGCCACCAGGGCTCCGTAACATAAATTGCTGTTGTTAAGAGTCATTAAGTGAATTCTGACTACCGTGTGGTTGACAGTCCAGTGCTTTCCTTATGCAGCTCCCGTGCTCCCTATTATAAATTCTGCTCTTGTTGATGTTAAGTTATCTGGACTGAGTTCTGACTCACAGTAACTCTCTATAGAGTTTCCAAGGGGCTGCTGGTGGTTTTGAACTGCCCACCTTGTGGTTAGCAGTCAAGTGCTTATCCTAGAGTGCCACACCAGGACTTCTAATATAAATTGTTAAGTGCCGTAGAGTGGGTTCCGACCCATAGCGACCCTGTATAGGGTTTCCAAGGAGCAGCTGGTGAGCTTGAACTGCTGACCTTGCAGTTCAAACAACTTTGCAGTCTGGCGCATTAACCCACAGCGTAATTAAATGCTAAACTTTCTGTTGCCTTTTAAGTTCAGTGGGAAACCAGAGAAGGAAGAGTGATGTTAATTTTGAGAAATTGGGGAGATTCTCATGGGATGATTGGCATTAAAACTGGTCCTCGGGCCCCTCTCTCTTCTGCGCTGCCTACGGAGGAGGCGGCCATCTCGACCGCCATCATGGCTGCCCTTAGACCCCTGGTGAAGCCCAAGATTGTCAAAAAGAAGACCAAGAAGTTCATCTGGCACCAATCAGATCGTTATGTTAAAATTAAGCGTAATTGGCGCAAGCCCAGTAGCATTGACAACAGGGTGCGGAGAAGATTTAAGGGCCAGATCTTAATGCCCAACATTGGTTATGGGAGCAACAAGAAGACAAAACACATGCTGCCCAGTGGCTTCCACAAGTTCCTGGTTCACAACGTCAAAGAGCTGGAGGTGCTGCTGATATGCAACAAATCTTACTATGCAGAGATTGCTCACAACGTCTCCTCCAAGAACCGTATCGTGGAAAGAGCAGCCCAGCTGGCCATCAGAGTCACCAATCCCAACGCCAGGCTGCGCAGCGAAGAAAATGAATAGACAGTCTGTTTTAGAGTTTT